CCTCATCCCTTCTCAGAAGACCTGCGCTTGCCCAGAACGTCCTCCGAGTCTTTGCCCATGCCGTTCCTTCTGCCAGATAAACCCCCAGCTGTCCCTCCTGTGTGACTCCTGCCAGGACCCCCCTTGCAGTAGGGAAAGCCCCGTCTCCCAGGTTCCTGTAGTTGTTTATCACATACAATGTGATTGTGTGTTTGTCTTCCCTGCAAGATGCCCAGCTTCTGGAAAAGGGCGGTGCACCTTATCAATCCTTATTAACCCCCCCATCATGTCTGCCATCTAGCTGGTGCCTCATGAAGGAACCGACAAAGAAATAGAGGGTGTTGGCGGAACTATAGGAATTACCAGATGGTCCCAGAGTGAGAGGCTGGCCTGGGCCCCTCCTTTCGTACATGTAGATCTGTTCTATTTACTCATAAATCCAGCCCTGGCTTTGTTGTACACACGTCCCCCCCAAACCAGAGGTTTATTTCAATTGCTCACCCCATCCTCAACCTGAATTCTGGGTCCTTGTAGTCATTCCCTATAAATTAAAAGTTTTTTCAGAAAGGATATCAAACTAAAACTTTCATTATAAATGGCCTCTGGCTTGCTTCTAAAAGGATTGCCCAAAGTATGGGGATTCTCAGTTGCTGCTTCTGGTCCCACAAAGTTCTCTTTGACAGGCCCCTCAGTAAGCCAGACAAAAACCTTAATTCGTTCGACAGAGCCAGAGCTGGGAGTCTCTGCCGCTTCTCCCTCTTCAGGTGTGTTTGGAGGCGATCCATGGCACAGGGAAGTGGTGATGAGCCGAGAGAGAGAGAGAGAGAGAGAGAGAGAAGCCAGCCATGCCGTCACCTGATTTTCATGAGTCTGATTAACAAGATGAGAGAAAAGAGGAAGAGTTGTTCAGCAAGAAATCGGTCTAGCATGACTGCCAATATGTAGCGAGTACCATGCTGAGTTGGGGCAGGCTTGTGGAAATAGGATGTTCCTAGGATGTCATAGGACACAACTTTCACGAACAAACCATATGCTTGTGTTCCAATCTAAATAGAAAAGTGTCTCCAAGGTGCAGTAGGGGTGACTTGACGTCATCACACTTCACTTCGTCTCCTGGCTCCTCCAGGTGGGGTTTCTGGACCAGTGGCATCAGCATCCCCGCCCCCCCCAAGAGCTCCTTAGAAATGCAAGATCCCAGACCCCAGTCCAGACCTACTGAGCCCAAACCAGCATTTTAACAAGATCCCTGGGTAATTTGTATGCTCCCCTCCCATCCCAGGGGAAACATAAATTAAGCAAAGTCCCCACTGGGTAATGTTCGGTGGAATGAATGTAGGTCCTATTTACAGAGGTCATGAGGGAGAACAGACTGATAGACATAAAGTGATGGGCTAGAAAATCATACTAATTTGAGGTTAAGGATAAAAAGATCCAGTTAGTAAAATTCCACAGAGCTAAGCTTTCTATGGAAACGTGTGAAAAAGTTCTACAAGATCCTCTTTATTCCATTGTATTAGATTCCTGGGGACACCATAACAAATGACCACAGACTAGTGGCTTAAAACAACAGAAATATACTCTCTCGCATTCTGGAAGCCAGAAGTCTGAAGTTCAGGCAGGTGTCTGCAGAGTAGGTTCCTTCTGGGGCTTGTGAGGGAGAATGTGCCCCACGCCTCTCTCCCGGCTTCCCAAGCTGGCTGTCAATTGTCAGCCTTCCCAGGCTTGTATATTTCCCACTTGAGTCTCTGCCCTCTGTCGTCACATGGTACTTCTCTGGTGTGCCTGTATCTTTTTTCCCCTTCTTGCTTAGACACCAGTAACATTGGCTTAAAGGCCGACTCTCCTCCAGGGTGAGTTCATTTTGATTACATGTGTAATAACACTCTTTCCGAATAAGCCCATGTTCTGAGGTTCCAGGAAGGATACGCCTCTTGGAGGAACCAAGTTCAACCTGGTACATCCATCTGACAAGAACAGAGGTGAATGCCGTGGGGGTCAAGCTGGAGAGATGTCAGCCTACTTGAGACTCAGGGTCTCCTCTACTCCTGCTGGTGGCGAGTGGCACGTGGGGCTTGCAAGGGGGGGTCCAGAGGCAGGAGAACCTGTATTCCCCATTTCTTGGTGCTATAGGAGAGCTTTGTGTCCTTTGAAACACTCTGGGTTAGTTGATCTTAGAACGCAAAGGATGTTGCCCTGTTTTTTCCTAAGGCATAGGCCATGGCTGTGAGTTTCACAGACAAGGAAGTCATGGCGGGAGTCCAGCATCCTTACTGAGACCAAAACTAAACTGAGAAAGGAGAAAGATTTTTAATTCTGCAGATGTTACATACCAGAAAAGATCTACAACTGAGCTAGGGAAGGGATGGAAGTTCATTATTGCGTGACATGCCAAGTTGAAGGTCCAAAATTAGACCCAGAGAGAAAGAAATGTGGTCTGGAGACCCTCTGGACCGAGGTGGGGAAGCTCTGGGGATGGGGCTGGGTGTCCATTTTTTTCCTTGACCTTTACTGAAAAGCCTCCCCTGGACAGGTATGTTGGGAATCAGGTAGTGTCCTAGGAGAGATCACAGTCTGTGCAGAGATGTGAGGCATTCCTTGACTTCTGAGAAGTGGATGTGATTCTCCTAAAGATACAAGGAAGACAGAGATGTTTCTTCCCATAGTGAGGATAGGGTCAGGGAGGGCTCCACTGAAATGCACTTGAGGTGGGGGCTGAGAAAGGGGCTCCTAGACCAAGCAAAGCAGCCTTCTCTCTTTAGGACCTCCACAGGTTCATGGCCATCTACAGTAAAAACCAGCCTCAGTCCTTGCTCCTCTGGTTTTCCGTGAGGTCTGGAGAGAGGGATCTAAAGGAAAAGAAGGAGCCAGATTTCCGGGAGCAGCTCTGGGCTCCTAGGGGCTGGTCGCGAAGGCAGCTGGGCTGCCCGGAAGTCCTGCTGCTTTGCCCACACTCAGCCTTTCTCATTCCAGAGCACGGGGACCATTATGTAAGGGGCTCCCTTGTTACCCGGCATCACACACTCAGCAGCCAGACAGTGCTTAAGGAGTGACTCTCAAATTTTCTGGGAGGCGCAAATGTGAATTAGTGATTTTTCTCTGCAGAGACTAGATGTCTGAATGTTTAAAAGCCTCAAGGCCACCTGAGACAGGTGACCTTGACTTGTGTGACAAGTGCACTTAGACAGGGAGGCTGCCCCAGCCCATGACCTTCCTAGTTTGTATGAGGAGGGAAGCCTCCCTCCAGCAGGACAGGGTTGGGCTTCCCATCACGTCTGACAAGCACAGGCTGAGAGGCGGACGGGCGTCCTGCCTGGGTCCTGCCTGGGTCCTGCCCGGGAGCGCTCAGGCACCAGAGGGATGCAGGGGGGCTGACATTTCAGCCTTTCTCGTGGCGTCTTCCAGAAGATAGAGGCGTAAAGATGACGTGGTTGGCAGTGGAATTGTTTCTGCCCTGCTGGATTCAACTCCCGTCTCCAGACTTTTCCTTCAATGAGGGAGCTTGGCTTTTAGGAGCCAAGCCATTTTTTCACAAGCAAATGGACTGCGGGCTCGAGGGGGACAGGGCAGTCCCTCACAGCAGGGAGAGGCAGGGAAAAGGCTGGATTTGTAACAAACTTGTCAAGATAGAGCTGCTTCTTGATGTTCTGGACCGAGAGATGAAGGAAAGGAACCCTTTACTCCCTTAACAGCTTCAAACCCACTCGGATTTCGTAGGGAAACGCGCACCGTCCTGGTCCCCATTCATTCCAGGTTCGCTCACCTTTGTGGTTCCTACCAGCCGATAGAAGAGTGCGGATTTCTTGTTTGTCCTATTAATCGGGTGTGGCCAGAGCTCTCTCCCATCCAGTGGGCCTGGTTTTGGGGACATGCTCTCTGTGTGGTCCAGCGGGACCTGCGTCCGGAAGGACCCTGGGCTTCGTTGAACGCATGCTCCACTGCCGTCTCAGATGTCTTCCTAATTTTTGAACATGGTGCCATGGTTTCACTTTGTATAGGGCCTTACAAATTATGTCAATCATTCCATATACCATATACCATATACCTGCTCCCCCATTTACCTCCCTCGCCCTTCAATCTTGGCTTCCACATCCCTTCCACAGGATGAAATGTTATCATACTGATCATCAAATAACTCGACCAACATTAACTGAATCAGTACAGCACGTCATGTGTTGAGCTGGGTGGTCTGTGTGGATTTTCTCATTTCATCCTCTCAACGGCCCGTCAAACGGCTTTCTTGGTGGGTGGGGAGATCGGAGGCCTGGAGATTTGTCCCTTCAAGGAGGACACTAACCTTCTGTGATTGGGGTGTGAAAAAACAGTCATTTATAGTTTGAGTATTAAATGTCCCAACCCAAAGGAGGAACCCCTGAGACTACTCCGAGGCAGGTCAGGATGGTCCCTTCTAGAACCCACCAGTGACAAAGGCCCATTTTCTTCTGCTGCTGGGGAGCTGGGCAGGGAGTGAAATAGGACAGAGCTTTGCTCTAGAAGGAAGACTGAGGACGGCACCCTACCTTGGCTTTTGTACCAACTTGCTTTGTTTTCTTGGCTGGTGCCAGAAACTCTGGGCCTAAATTCCTTTAACTATGAATTGAAAGGTCTAAACTAATTTCTTCCAGCCCCATATATAATTCCAGCCCCATGTATAATTTTTTATTCAGAACCTCTGGGTGGGATGGGGTGGCTTTTAGACCACCAAGAGACCTAAATTTTGGCAAGATGGTCCAGCACTCATCCCTACGACTAAAAGAAAAGGAGCAATAGCATGCTATTTCAGTGGGACCGTAAGCTTCTAGAACATTTGTGCAATCCCAGGCCTTGGGTCTGTACTGTGCACGCCAGCGGGTCTCTGCCTTTACTCCATCCTACAGGGTTGGTTTCTCCTGCTGATGGTTGCGGCAAACGTGCTCGCCTAGAGCAGGAATCAGTATATTTTCCATGTGCGTTAGTCTCCCCTGTTAAAGCTGGTGGGATGTCCTGTTTTTAAAAAGTACGTGTCCTTCTACCCAAATTCACAGGTACAAAGGATTTAAAGGCAACTGCTCTATGACCTTCATTGATCAGTTCAAAGCGTTGCACCAGTGTAACAAGTATTGTAAAATGCTGGGGCTGAAGTCACTTCAGAACAACAGCCAGAAACAGAAGAAGCCAAGCGTCAGTAGAAGCAAGACTCAGCCCAACTCCATCCCCGTCAGGAAGGTGGCACCAGGGACCCCAGCCGAAAAGAAAACCTCTCGTCCCCTATGAACTGCCAGCCACCTGGTGGCCGCACACAGTCTCGTGGGCGGAAATCTGAGAACACTCAAGAGAGAACGTGTAGCCTGCGTCGCACACAGCGGTGTGACCGTCCCATTTCCGGCTGCCCCGACGCCACCCTGCTTCCAAGCCCACCACCTACTGGCCTCCCCGGAGTGATTTCGGGGCAGGACTTGTGACCAGACGTGCGGAGAGACGGAATCAGCTGTCCCTCCCGAAAGACGCTCCATCCTTGTGCCCACCGTTAGCATGTCTACCGATGTCACGTTATTTGTCTGCTTGTGTGTTGGCACGTGGTTGTGTTGTCAAGGACTTGGTGCTGAGGAGTGTCTGTCCACAGCCCATCCCCACACCATCCCCCCTTCCTTTCTGTATACACAGAAAAACGTGAATTCCTCCATTGGGTCAAGTTGTCCCACTAGTGTTGAATGTGCTGTTGTTGCCAGAGGTGGTCGCGAACGCGCAAGGCCATTTCCTTCATTCTTCACACATCAGACTATAATTCTCTGTTTAATTAAATTCATATTTAAACCAAGAATGTGAGATGCAAAGTTTGGCACAGACATTTGCTGCTTAGAATCTGTGCTATATTCTGCCTTCCTCCAGGATTAGTAACCCGGTGACCTCCTACTCAGCTTACTGGAGCGCGACACAGATGCATCTGTGTTTTCTCTCCATTCCTATGTCCTGGTGAAGGTTCCATCACAGCTCCGCTCTGTAAAACCAGGGCTGACCCCGTCGGAGGCCATAGGAAGAGGGCGCAGAGCCTGGCTGGGGCACCCCAGCTCCTGGGGACCCCAGGCCCTCCCCACAGCCCGCAGGGACTCCTTCCCAGCCAGTGGGGGTCCTGCCCAGCTGCCGGGCAGAATGACAGTGGCCATTTACATCAGGCAAGAAGAAATGACAGAAAGATGGCTCAGGGATGCTTTTATGCACCCCAAAGTGGGAGAGAATATCTGCCCACCCCACTGGTTTGTTGCGGCTGTTGTCGAATTAACAGACTAGTTTGGAGAGTAGTCTAAGGCTTATGGGAAAAAGAGTGGAAAGTATAGAGGGTCCCCATATGCTCCCTCACCCCCGCTCCGTTGTTGACCCGTTACTGTCATCGTGCATCCGTGGGACACGGTTATTGCGCTTGAGGAGCAAATGTTGTACCTCGTGACTCACCAGAATCCGTAGATTACATTGGGTTCACTCTCCCTGCTCTGCCTTCCTGGGTCTGACACACATGTGATGACATGAATCCTCTGTGACACTTTCCTACAGAGTGGTTTCTCTACCCTACCAGCACCCTATGCTCCCCAATTCATCTTTCCTGTCCCCCCGCCCCCAACTCCTGGTAGCCACTGGCCTTTGCCTGTCTCTGCAGGTTTGCTTTTTCCAGAATGTTCTATACAGTAGCTGGACTCCCACAGTAGACAGCCTTCTTGGATGGGTTTTGAGGACGATTTTAACCACTCCCTGACCTATCATTAGGTCACTTCTGAGCAGTGTGACCCACTCTTCTCAAACTGGAAGTACACACGGGCCACCCGGGATCCTGTGAAAATGCAGGTTCTCATTCAGCACGTGTAGGGAGGGACCTGAGATTCTGCATTTCTAGCACATTCCAGGGGCTCTCCATGCCGACCAGGGACCACAGGGTGTCTATGCCACAGGGCCCCAAAATGTTGAGGGGAATGGCTGGACCTCCTAGAATTCACATAACAGCCCCCCCCACCCCAGAGAAGCACCGGTGACTTCTCGGTGTGGGTGTGTGAAACCACAGGAGGCCCCCGCTCAAGGCCATGTGAGCGTCCTGATGGGTTGGTGTGGCCTCCCTGGAGGGGCAGCGTGCCTCCACAGAAGACGCCTGGCTTCTGCTCTAAAATATTGTTCTCCTTGGGCACCAGCTTTGGATTAAAAAAAGAAGAAGAAGAAGAACATACATGGGATTTTTGTCTTTGAAAAGGGATTTGGAGGAAACCCTTCAATCAGTCACATTTCATTTTTTCAGAAAATCTGCCACTTCCAGCCGTCCTCCTGAAGTGATTCCCTGGCTGTAGATCATAAGATGCTCATTTTTCTATGAGGCAGCCTGCAGCCTGCCTTCCCCACAGAGATCCTACAAATGTATTTAGCCACAGAGTTCTAGAAAGTTCTGTTGAACCCTCTCAACAGAGCAGAGTACTTTCTTTAGTTATCATTTATAATTATAAACATAATATCAACACAAGTATTAAAAATAAAAATATAGAAAGGTATAAAGTGAAAAGTCAAGTCACCCTGTAACCATCTTCCCCTCTGGCTGTCTTTGAAGTTTGATTTGGAGAGACGATTGAAGGAAAAGGCTTTTCTACTCCCAGATTTTGCATTTGACAGTCAGTGCACAGGGTAGTTCTCTTGGTTGGAGGTGTTCTTGCCTCCTTTCATGGATGCTTAGATTTTTTTTTCCCCCAAAAGTGCCTTTATTGTTTATTGTCATCTGATTTCATTTGTCTGAAAATACTGGGAGGACCAGGGCCACAAGGGGTGTCCATGGTTGGATTTGTCCCAGCCAGGGCTCCTATGGATGGCCTTCATGGGGCTGTGTGGCCATCTGTCCACCACCCACACCCGGACCTTCTATTCTGAGATGATCAGTCGTTTTCCTTGCACGAATAAAGTGAGTGTGCAATGGGCTCCCTTACACCAAAGATAACGGTTCTGGGGTCTCAGTCGGAAATGCCCACACCAGTTGTCATTGTTTTTAGCTCAGTTTGTAACCCGGTCCGTTTCCACTGATTTTCCTGTTCATCTTCCTAAGTGGGCTGTGTTAGGTCTGTAGACCGAGGCACTGAGCTGGGCCAGGCTTGTGGGTCCAGCTGGGGATTTTGTACCCGAGGCCCCCGGGGTAGCCGCGTACATTAAGCATCTCAGTTTCTTAAAGGGCTCAACCGTGGAGCTCTGTGATAGGCAGATGACAAAAATAAATGAATGTCTCATTAAAATGGGCTTCTGTTTTCAACAGCAGGTTTATCACTAACGACAACGGCAAAGAGCTGATGCCTCCTTGCCAATGGGCATCAGGTCCCGGAGAGATCTCATTTCGGATGTGCCGATGGCTGGCTTGTGTTCATAGTTCATTTTCTCTGACGGTACTGGCGCCTCCCTGGCCAGGCTCTTGAGAAGCCCCGTATTAGCAAGGGGTTTCAATGGATTCATATTAAAAAGAATGCCAAAGAGGCAACAACTATTTTCTAATCATAAAGCACTCTCCTGTCTGAATATCCAAACTGTTTGGGGGGGGGGGGCGTGTTCACCTGGATGCAGGTGGGAGGAACCGGCCACTCCCCTCCATTTCCCCCCCACCCCACCGGCTTGCTCGCGGCGGGGATGATCCGCTCCGCTGGACCACGTGTGCCAAAGTGAACAGATTGGCATTTCTCCCCCACTTGGATCTGCAGATGCCACTCGGGCTTAAATAGTTTAAAAAAAAAAAAAAAAAGAAAATCAAAGCGACAGCAAACCTCCTCTGCCTCCCCGCACAGAGTATGTTTTCCAACGCTTTGCTGTAGCGGCTTTGGAATCCTTTGAGGGCCTGCGGGCGCTGAAACTGATTTGGGAAAGCCTTGGGCACGGTGGTCTTCGCGGGGACTGCGCGGTCCCCGGAGGGCAGCCTTCGGCTTTGCGATACACTCAACAAATAGTAACAAGTACTCAGCGCAGCACCAGATCAAGAAGTTTTAAAGTTCTGCTTTCCACAGAAGCCCAAATGGTTCCAGAGAGAAATCAGCTCAGAGGTTTTCTCTCCCTCCTTTTTCTTTCCTTCCTTCCTTCCTTCCTTCCTTCCTTCCTTCCTTCCATCCTTCCTTCCTTCCTTTCCCTCTTGCTCTCTCTTTCTTTCTTTCTTTCTAGAATTTATTTATTTTAGAGGGAAAGAGAATCTCAAGCTGACTCCATGCTGAGGGCAGCCCGACGCGGGGCTCCATCTCAGGACCCTGAGATCATGACCGGGGCCCAAACCAAGAGTTGGATGCTTAACCGACTTTGCCACCCAGATGCCTTTGGAGGCTTTGTTCGCCCTCAAAACCACATGTTCTAGATCGGATTTGACCTAGAAAAGCCATCTGTCTGCTTCTATTTTAGGGAAGGAAGTTCCACGTTCATATCAGAAGCAATTCTAATGACCCCTCCATCTCCCTCTTCATTCCATCATTTGTTCTTTCTCTGCCCGTGTCCGGGAGGAATGAGAAGACGGTGCTCTCTCTGGTGTCTGTGTCAGTGTCCTGGGGCTGCCCTAACACGGGCCACAGACTGGGTGGCTTAAATAGCAAGAGTTTATTGTCTCCCAGTTCTGTGTCCTGAGTCCTAGATCACGGTGTTGGCAGGGCCACCATCCCGACTGGTGCCCAGGAAGGCTCTACCCCAGGCCTCTCTCCTGGCTTCGCCTGCGGCCTCGGGACTCTGGTCATCACGTGGCTCTCTCCCCACGTGCACATCTGTGTCTGAATTTCTCCCTTTTAGAAGCTCACCACTCATACTGGAGGAAGGCCTGCCCTGATGACCACATTGTAACTTGGTTCAGACCCTATCTCCAAATAAGGTCACGTTCTGAGGTCTTGTGGGTTAGGACTTCAGTGTATGAGTTTTGGGGGAGACAATTCAATCCATACAGTGCCCCTGCCTTTCGTACCCACATTGCGGGCAGTTTGTTCAGGCTCGGAGGCCAGGCCAGAGAAAATCACCATGGTGCCTGCTGTGCCCCCTCAGGGCCTCCCCTGACATCAGCCCACAGGAAGCGTCCCTGCTCACTGGGAGACCACCCGCACCTCCAGCCCTCGTCATTCCCAGAGAAAGATCTTCATTTGGGTTCCTCCGTTTCCTCTCCTAGAGTCTTAGAGAAATCTCCCCCCTTCTCAAAAGCTGGAAAAGTAGCCACAGCTGCCACTGAATCCCAGGGCCCAGGGCCTCCTCCTTGCCCCACCCTCCCGTGGTGGGACGTGACTGAGCAAACCATCCTCGGTGCCCCCGGGCTGCTCACTCATTTCAAAGCACTGCCCCCCTTGCGGTTTTCATTCCCATCCCTTCTAGATGCCCCTGGGCCCACACACCAGCTTCTGAGACACTCCATGGTTGACTCATTAATTTTGTTCAGTGTTTATCTCCCCCATTGCAGTGTAAGCTCTATGAGGATAGAGATCTTCATCTCCTTTGTTTACTGCTGGATCTCTAACACCCCAGAGTGCCTGGAACATAGC